CAGATACTCAACGAGAGAACTATAAATGAGCCCGTTCAGATCTGAGGGAGAAACAGAGAAGGAGAAGGAATACCGTAATGAAGATGTCTAACGCATTGAAGTCAATGGCCATAACGCTTTGATTTGGTTTAACTTCCTCGCTCCAAAAAGCTTTTTCTTTTTAAATTTTTAAATAATAAGAGCGTGAAACCGGTTGCTGTTGCTGTCGCCTGTTTGTGACATTCGGTGTTTGTCTTATGCTAACGCTGAATATGTTTGTAATAATTTTCTTTGTTTTTTTTTTTTTAATTATATGATATGATTCAGCATATATAATATACATATGCGCGCGTGTGTGAATGAGAAAGAAGCAGCCAGGCAAAACAGCGCTGTTATAAAATACTTGTTTCAAATGTTATAAGTCTTTTTCAATAAATATAATATTAAAAATCAACTCTAAAAATATAAATTAGAAAATTCAATTTCTTCTTATAAGTATGAGGACATAATTGAAAAAAAAAATATATATATATATATATACTCAATTAATTAAACACCCTATAACTTTGGATTCACTTTTCGAAAATTAGTCACAACCTAAATAAAAAATTAAATTACATTTAAATAGTAAAGTAAATTATTAAATTAATTCTTAAAATTTAACATTTATGATAATTTTATATATAACATTTTCTTATTATATTTTGATAATCTACATATTTTCACTCATTTATGCTCATTTTTTTCTATTTTTTAATATAAATAAATAAAATAGTTTTATCACCCGTGGATGCCTCAAAAAAATTTAAATAATAATTTAAACTAATTAATTAAATTAATAAATTAAGTTTTTATTATCTTGAGCTTTTTTTCTAAAATATCCAATCATATTCTAACTATTTTAATTTTTTTATTAAAAAATATATAAAAAAAAATGAGAAAAACATCAGAGAACAATTACAGGGAACAAAGTATTAAAAACTAAAATATATCAAATAACAATTTTGTAATATTAATGTATTAACTTATTCTATATAATATTATAGGTTAGCAAAAACCAGCAAGTCAAACTAATTAAGAACTTATTTATTTTGTTTAAGTTAAACTAGTTACAAATAAAAAGTTAATATTTTAATTGTTTTAGTTTTGTAAAAAGATAAAAAAAGTTATTTAAGATTTTTTGTCTTTTTAAAAAAAATCATATATACCAACCTAAAATTTTGGCTAGTCTATTTGTTTCATTGTTTAACATATATTTATATACGTGCACATGCATATTTAATTATTAAATTTGTAAATTTTTAAAAAGTTAAAATTTTATTAATTTATGTTCAGATATTTAATTATTAATTGAACTGACTAAATCTATATAATTAATTCAGCTTTGGTAGATTCATATAGTTTAATAAGCTTGTTTGATTTGTGAAATTCTTTAATTGAATTGAGCTGTCCAAAATAATACTGTTTTTAACTCTATTACCCACGTTTTTAGTTAAAATTATGAATCAAAAGACATAGTTTTACTATTTATTGAGTTATATATTGTTATTAACCAAAGTTTGATGGATCACATTTTTTGTATGGTAATAGTGGATTAATCAAATCAAACAATTTATTTAGAAATTAAATTATAGAAAAATAAATAAATAACAAAAAATATGTATTATATATTATATATAATCTAAATTTTGTGTCTCATACATAATATATAGTTTATTTATTTATTTATTTATAATAATGTTATTATAATAATCGTAGATGGTTTAAA